TGTGCCTTCATCATTGATCAGATTTTTTTTCAGAGGAGTACTTGGATAGGATCAGGAGCATGACAGAACAAAAAAAATCTAATTAGACTGACATCCTTGTTTGCTGTCGGCATTAAATTGACATTTTTCTCTGAAGTGTTTGGAAGGAAAGCCAGCAAATACTTACACTTTTTTGTTTGTTTGTTGTTGTTCTTCACTGGTTTCTGCTGGGCTTTCATACACGCTTAAACACAGGGTGAGGAGTTTTTCAGAATGACCTCTAGGTGAAAACTTTTCTATGCCTAATAAACTGAAGTAGTCAACTAACAGCTGCTTTCTTAAGTAACAAAATTCATCTTCTGGTTGGTAGGCTGCTCAGCTATGCTGCCTTGTGCTAAAAGATCTTTGTTGCTCTAATTATCTCTGCTAACTTTCTGCTTTTACCTTTGATTCAACATGTCAGTCAGAAGCAATGGGGATATGTTATGGAGTGCTCCTTTCTAGTATTTCTATTTTAATGAAGGGATGAAAGTGTTGGATGTATGATTTTTTGACTTAGTAAGAATGGCCTTTATTAAACAGGTTCATAGTTTCTGCTCACATTGGAGTCTCTGCCTTTCCCGGATCAGTAGAACAGTGACTGTGACATCTAATGTTTTACTTTAATCTTCTGTCTCTGATCTGGTGTTCAGTATGGACCTTGCTGCAGTGAGACATGCCCTCATAATGTCAAGCCTAGATTAATGCAGCGTGCTTTACATCGTACTTCCCTTGAAGACTACTTGTAAATTTCTTCTAGCGCAGTTTGCTTCCTTCTGTGGTTTGAGGTGTTTTGAGATGAAAAAAATCTCTTTAAACTCTGTATTTCATGCTTTGCATTGGCTACCGTCTTCTGTATTTGTAAAACTCAGGACTTCTTATAAAGTTCTTGAGTCTTAGGACAGAGTTCTGTCCATATTCTTTTATGTCATTTAAAATATATTGGAATGTCTTTGAAGCTTTTTGGGATTAATCTCTGTAAGCTTGATGAGTAATTTCCAGCCTGTCTTGATAGTTTGTGTTTAAGGTTTGGGGCAAAATGGGTGTGATGACTTCGTTGAGCATTTTGAAAGATTAATCATTTGATTTTGTATTTTGGAATGGAGCTTTTCTTTGGGGACCAAGTTATTAATAATTTCACTGGGCTTTTATTTGCAAGACCTGTAGTGTAAAAAAAGGGTATTCATCTGTTAAGATTCATTTGATGAGTTGAGAGCTACATCTAATAATGATGGAGCACAACACGCAGACAGAAAGTTAGCAATGGGTACATGCTTTTGAATGAGTATGCAACCCAGATGGGATAGGTCTGTCTTTTCAAATAATGAATATAAATAAAAAGGATGTCTTTTCAAATAAAAATATTTTTGGTATTGGAGTAGTTGACATCCTGCTTTATCCTTGGGAGAAGGACATCCTGTGTAATTATGGGCTGGAAAAAGGCTGTGCAGCTACATACGTATATAATCACAAATCCCTGGAGCATTGCTATTAATAGAGAGAAGAAGATGCCTTATTTACATTTGCTTTTCGGCTCCTGTGTCACTCAGTTTTTGGCCTGAAATTATAAAAACAAGTAAAAAGAGGAGGGAAATAAAGGCTGGAAGAGCCAACTGAATTTTTACTCAATTACATAGCTAGGTCTAGACCTTATTCCATTGCTCCTGTTTAGCATTGGGTGAATATTTTAATGTTCTAAATCTTGAAATAAGTGTATTCTGGTTTTGTTTATTGTAGATTAGCTTTGTTTGACTTGCATGTTTTTGTATATCCAGTTTCTCTGTGTTGCAAAGTGTATGGAAAGTCTTAAAATGGTAATAACTTGTTCTTTTATGCAGATTTCTTGGGTTGAGTTACCACATGAGTTAATGTTCATTTTTCTCCTCCTTCAATGACACAATACACTAGCTATATAGCAAAAGATGATGCAATTGTTCTTCCAGATATTATCCTCTTCATCGGACAGCTTCTCTGAAGAATGATAGATGCTTCCAGGAACTATCTGTTATCTCTTACAGTCTGTAGTTCCTAGTTGAACCGAATGCGCTGTTGAACAACAGTCCTTGAGAGCACTTGCACACTATATACTAGTTCCTCAGCATATTGAGTCTTCCCATCCATCATGTCCCACAGTGATAACTAAAGAAAATTGCTAACAGCTGCTGGTCAGGATTAAAGTAAAATGGATCTTTCTTTTCCTTTTTTGTTCTTCTAGTTGCAGGTATACACACAGTATGTGCCTAGCAGTATCTAAATGATGTGTTGCCGTGACTCAACATTAGATGGACTGAAATAAAGGAATCTTCCTACCTTTAACTAGTGTTTTCTTAGGTGAGGAATACTGTTAGTAAGCAATCTGTAAGCACTGAATGTAATGTGATACAGAACTTCTGAAAAGTCTGGGCCTTTAGGCAATCCGATAGTTGGCAAAAAAAAATGTGTGATATAAAATTGTGAAAATAACTTACTGTTTCCTTCTGAATAGACAACTAAACTTTGATTGTGTTAGCATTAGGCTTGAAGACAGAAAAAGTCATCTAGCACCTTTCACACATCAGGCAGTACTTGTAACATCCTGGGAGAGGTCACAACAGTTGTTGTCGTCTTTTCCTTTTCATGTGTTCATCGCTTTCAAATTATCAGTCCTTTTATTTTTGAGTTATGTTAGTGATAACAATGAAGTCACACAGCCGACCATCTTCACTATATTTTGTTTCAATTTATTATAATGGCATAGAGAAGGAATGAAGCTTTCTCCCTGCTGGTAATATTAGACCATGTTTCGATACTGTTTGCAGAAGTAGCATTACTATAATAAAATATTAAGAATTTCTTCTTGTAGACTAGCGTTGCTTGTTTGATTTAGTGCTAATGCTGGTTATGGTTTAAAAAGAAAATAATCCAGCTTTCACTCCTTGAGATCAGAAGCAAGGGGTACAGTATACGAAAATGAATCAGAATCTTTCTAGATGGGTGATAAACTCCCGTTACGCAGCTCCTGCGGTTCCCGCTGTGCCCTGCTGCGGTACAGGCGCGCTCTGTGCATGCCTCTTCCTCAGGTGCAGCGGAGGGATTAAGTACTTTTTGGTGATCACAAGTTAATGCCAAAGCTAATGTGGGCCTTACAGGTTGAAAAAGCATATGGAATTTTGCAGCCAGCAGCGGGTTTTACGTGAATGTAGAAGGATGTGGTTGGTGCAGACATCGGCACTTGTGATGTTGGAAGGGATTGATCACTGACTGTAGTTCTGATCTGGTTGACATAGCTTGACAGTTGTTGCGTTTTACTTAAGTTTTTCTAGTCTGTGTACTAAGCTTCAAGCATGTATGTAAATGCTGTGGTGGGTCACAGTTATAATGTTTGGTATGTTCTTTTTCTGAAAGCGTTCAAGTTGAACTTGGTTTGCATATTTTGAAATGTAATGTACTCTTTAAATTGCATCTGCATGATATCCATCCTTTCATAAGAGCCTTAATAGGAGTCTCATTTGCTGCTTCAAAGGTATGTCTATTTTGTGTCGTTGAAAGATAACTTCTGAACTTTTTCAAATTGAGATTCGTTTCTTAAGTTGTACATAAATGAAAATAAAAATTAATACGAACCTGATGTCTTCTGGTAATTTTTATTCTGGTACAGATGGGCCCATGCACTTGGAAACTGTTTGAAATAGATTGATTTATTTTTATTGCTCTTGTACCTCTCATAACCTTCAGGCTACAGTAGCTGAATCTAAGGGGAGGGTGTGTGGCTGTTCCACATCTGCTTTCAATCTTTCTAATTTCCCATAATCTAAAATAAAATACTAGTAGTGCCTGTATTTTTGTGAGAGACTTGCCTGTGTTGTCTCTTAGTGCAGTATGCTACAATGTATGTTGATCCTGTATTGAAGTATATTACTGATTTTCTGTTATTCCATACCTCTGCTGTGTTACTAAAATAAAATATTTTAGAGCTTAAGTCTAGGCGACATACCATGGTAGGGACCTTGAATTTTGTCATTGCAGCTGTTGATCACTAGCAGACATGCTAGATGTTCTGCTTGGAGCGGTGTATGCCCTAAATGAACGCTCAGTTTTTCACTTTTTTTCCTCAGGACAACCCCCTAGGAAAAAAGGAGAGACCAGTTTACCCTGGCACTGGCTGGTAGCTGTTCTGTCTGCTTCACAGGGACTTTTGATAGACCTCCCTCTCTTTTCAGGTGAGGCACCTAGACCAGGAAGAAGGAGCTGGGAGGAGAGATGTGGATCACCTTACCTCGTCATCTGCAGGGAACAGACCTTTTTATTTCTACATGGGAGTTTCTTGCCATAAGAAAACAGGCTGACAAATCATCTTCATTTATCTTCTCATTTATTAATTAGGTGGACACTGCTGAAGGCCACAAAATCTTAAATTCCACTCAGCAGTTTGGTAAATGGCATTCATTACGCATTGTCTTTAGCTTAACAGGTGGATATTCCTCAGGAGAGTACTTCACATTGAGGGGTTTGAGTCCAGTAAAGCTGCTGTTACTTCTCTTTCCTTAGAACTGTTGCTTTCACATTCCCTTAGGATGGCCTTCCGAATTTCTGGATACCCTGATTCTCATGTCTCTATTTCTTCAGGATTTTTTTGGTTTTTTTGCTTGGGGTTTTTTGGATTTTGCCTTTTATTTTGTCATTTCTGCTTAGGAAAAGAAAAAAGTGTAATGACTACTGAGTACTTAAAATTATTAAAATAACCCTGAGGAAGATAGTCCTTCAACTCATAAAATTGTAGTTGAAATTTTGTGAAGATAGTGCAAACTGTGTTGCATACTGGTGGTTTATGGATTTCATGGAACTTCTACAAAAATCCAAGGATATATCCATGCTATTAGCAGCCAGTCCTTACTTCTAAATAAATATAATACAGCATTTTGTTCAAGTAGTAACTCCTTACAGTTTAGGGTTCTTGAAGGAATTGGCTGTT